GCTGTCACATGTTGCTCTGTCAGTCACATGATACTCTGTCATTCACACAATGCTCGGTCTGTCACATGATACTCTGTCATTCACATGATGCTCTGTCAGTCACATGATACTTTGTCAGTCACATGATGTTCTTTCTGTCACATGATGCTCTCAGTCACATGACGCTCTAGCTGTCACATGTTGCTCTGTCAGTCACATGATACTCTGTTATTCACATGATGCTCTGTATGTCAAATGACATTGTCCATGTTTGGCAGATGAAGTTGGGTTCATTGTGATGATGGTCAGGTGCTTCTGATCCTGTCAGGTTAAACTCTGATGTGGTTTTAAGATTGTTTGTCTCATCAGGTGATGCTACTGATTGACATTGAGCTAGCTTACGTCAACACCAACCACGAGGACTTCATCGGCTTTGCAAAGTAAGGAACTTTAAACAAAACGTTAACAATAAAAGATAATAATCCAACAACATGAATGAGAACTCGTCCAGAACTTTTTGTAGACGGCCCGTTTCCTGTCAGATCCAGATATTTACCTGTAACGTACACACACGCGTGTGTATTTATTTGTGTGTGTGTGTCAGTGCTCAGCAGAAAAGCAGTCAGATGAGCAAGAAGAAGGCGACAGGAAACCAGGTGAGTCCCAGCATGTGCCCTGGGGGGCGGGGCTAAAGGTGGATGAATGGAAGACTCATTCATGTGTTGCTCCCGTTTCTTCTCACCTCTGCCTCTTCCCATCCTTCTCTCTGCCTCTGTTGCTGTGGCAACCAGGACGAGATCATGGTGAGTGTGTGAGAGCGCTTGTCTTTCTGACGTTCATTCAGCTTTACGTTCGGTCTGTTCGGTTTGTTTACCTTTAGGTTTCGTTTCTCGTCTTCTGGGTACTTCTAAATGATGACCATGGTTAGTTCAGTAAGTGTGAAGCAGATTGTTCACAATAAGGAAGATGAATAATTTAAAACAAACACTTATTGGTTGTTGGTGGATAAACGGTGAAGAGGAACCGAGTGTTTGGTCTCTTATTGATCACAGGATTTATTTAAATGCTCATCTCACGGTTTGTAGATGATGACATCATAACTAAGTACATGTTTCACTGATGTAATGACGCAGGTGATTCGTAAAGGTTGGCTCACCATCAACAACATCAGCATCATGAAGGGCGGAGCCAAAGAGTACTGGTTCATCCTGACCGCAGAGGCTCTGTCCTGGTACAAAGATGACGAGGTAAAACCGCGCACCAGCTGTTTGTCTGGGCTTTTAGGGTCCAGAGTCTGCAGCAGATCTGAACTCAATGGTTCTGAATCAAGTGGGCATACTTGTCTTACCCAGCTGTTTTTATTTCAAACTGTAGACCTGTACTCCTGGATGATTTTATCAAAACTGTGTAAATCCAGGTATAAAATCAGTGAAGAAGAATGTAGGACTCTTTAGGACTGGATCAGGTCTCGTGGAGAGGAGTTCTAGGTCTCCTGTGTCCACATTCTGACATCTGCGTGAACTTTGATGTGTTCGGAGGCTCCACTGTTGACTGGAACCAGAAACGTCCTGCTTTTGTTTACGGAGAATGAAATGACAGTGAGAGCTGATCCAGACTTACTGATCATCTGATTATTGATCGAGTTAATTGGGTTTAATTAGATCATGGGCTGCTGAGTACTGACAGCTGTCCTCAGGTGAGAGGATCAACCAGGAGCACAGATGCTACCGGGTGTGAACACCACCTGAGTAAAACCATAAAGTGTTGTTTTTGTGTCAGAGAAAGAAACTCAACTCGTTATTGTTGCGCCTCCTGCAGGAAAAAGAGAAGAAGTACATGCTTCCTGTGGACAACCTGAAACTGAAGGACATCGAGAAGAGCTTCATGTCCAGCAAACACATCTTCGCTTTGTTCAGCACCGAGCACAGGCCAGTAATTAATACGTCACCCTGTGTGTTAAACAGCTGCAGTTTGTGGTATGAAGTCACGAAATAAAACTGCAGACTTTAGAGGAGCTCCACCTGGTTGTATACTCAGTCCCCTTTCAGTTCTGCAAGAACATCAGAATGTTGTCTAAAAAAGTTAAATCTGGTCCTCTGGACATTCAAAAAAACCCACAACAAAGCAAAACAACAAAAAATGTAGAAACGTTTCGTCTCTCGTCCGAGAGACTTCTTCAGTCTGAGGTGCTGTATTCAGCTCAGTCTCTTAAATAGCACCTTCTCAGAGTGGATCAACCAGTTTTGCTGCTGACAACCAAAACCAGCTGACCACATGCTCAAGAAGGACCATCAGCGGTCACTCTTTCAGGGATGAAGATGTTCACATCCTGGACAGAGAGGAACGATAGTTTGAGAGAGGAGTAAAGGAGGCCATCTTTGTGAAAAGAAACCGTCCATCATTAAACAGGGGCGGAGCCTCCAGGTTCAACTGTCCCCCTCTTACAATGCTGTGATTGCTAGTATCACTCAGCCCTCTGTGAACAGTAAACAGCCATCAGGTGCTAATGATCCATTGTTAGGCTGATGGTCCTTCTTGAGCATGTGATCAGCTGGTTCTGGTTGTCAGCAGCAAACTGGTTGATCCACTCTGAGAAGGTGCTATTTAAGAGACTGAGCTGAAAACAGCTCCTCAGACTGAAGAAGTCCTCAGGATGAGAGACAAAACGTTTCTACATTTTTTTGTTGTTTTGCTTTGTTTTGGGTTTTTTTGAATGTCCAGAGGACCAGATTTAACTTTTTTAGATTTTTCTACCTGGATTATTGAGCAGCGTCAGGATATCAGAATGTTGTCTTTGTTGTAGGAATGTGTACAAGGACTACCGGCAGCTGGAGTTGGCGAGTGAGTCACAGGAGGAAGTTGACAGCTGGAAGGCTTCTTTCCTACGAGCCGGAGTGTACCCTGAACGCACCGTGGTACGGCATCATTACATCATTACTATGATGTCACCATTACTGCTTCATCATCATCACTGTGATTCAGACTAATACTATCCTATCTCTCTGTGTCCCTTCCTGCAGGACAAAGAAAAGGTGAGTCTTTGATCAGTGTCACCAGGTGGAGGTGGTTGTCTTTGTGGGTTCTGTTGCAGTGTGTGTCTTTGTGTTGGCAGGTGGAGGCGGAAGAGTCCAGTGCTGATGGGCAGATCCACAGTATGGACCCTCAGCTGGAGCGACAGGTGGAGATCGTCCGGAACCTGGTGGACTCATACCTGGCCATCATCCACCGCACTGTCAGAGACCTGATCCCCAAAACCATCATGCACCTCATGGTCAACAATGTACGACACACACACGCACAAACACACACATACAGGCACACACAATGATGTCATGAGTTGTGATTTTTTTTCTGTTTCTCAGACAAAAGAGTTCATCCACTCTGACCTACTGGCTCAACTGTACTCCTGTGGAGACCAGAACACATTGATGGAGGAGTCCCAGGAGCAGGTGAGACCTCAGACAGGTGAGACCTCAGACCACAGACAGGTGAGACCTCAGAC